TCCGGGACTTTGTGTGTTGAGCCAGGGTGTGTTCGTTTCGTGGTGTTTTGTTTGGTTGGGTGGTTCTATGTGTTGTATTTCTTTGTTTGGTTGAGTGACTCCCAATCAGAGGTAACGAGTGTCAGCTGTTGGCTCGTTGTCTCTGATTGGGAGCCATATTTATACTGTCTGTTTTCACCTTGTGTTTGTGGGTTTTTGTTCCTGTTCAGTCATTGTCACTTTTGGACTTCACGTATCGTCATTTGGTTTTGTTGTTTTCGTGGTTGCTTTATTTAATAAAGTCAACATGTTCGCTACAAACGCTGCGCTTTGGTCCACTCCTTCCTTAGACGATCGTGACACTGAATCTGTTTCTGGTATTTAGAACAGCTGAATCTGTTTCTGGTATTTAGACCAGCTGAATCTGTTTCTGGTATTTAGAACAGCTGAATCTGTTTCTGGTATTTAGACCAGCTGAATCTGTTTCTGGTATTTAGACCAGCTGAATCTGTTTCTGGTATTTAGACCAGCTGAATCTGTTTCTGGTATTTAGACCAGCTGAATCTATTTCTCTGTGTGTTCTTGATAGAGATGGAGAAGAGTGGGAGTCAAAGAAGATGACAGGTTCCTCAAGAAGGGAGGGAGAGAGGATGGGTGAGAGGGGAAGGAGGGAGGGAGAGAGGATGGGTGAGATGTGGAGGGAAGAGGGAGGAGAGAGGATGGGGTGAGAGGGGAAGGAAGGAGGGAGAGAGGATGGGGAGGGAAGGGGGGAGAGGATGGGTGAGAGGGGAAGGAAGGAGGAGAGAGGATGGGGAGAGGGAAGGAAGAGGGAGAGAGGATGGGTGAGAGGGGAAGGAAGGGAAAGGGGGAAAAGGATGGGGTGGTTGAGGGGGGCGGAAGGAGAGAGAGAGATGGGGGGGGGAGGAGGGGGGATGGGTTGAGAGGGGAAGGAGGGGAGGAAGGATGGTGAGAGGGGAAGGAGGAGGGGGGAGGTGGGGTGGAGGGGAAGAGGAGGGAGAGGGTGGGGAGGGAAGGAGGAGAGAGGAGGGTGAGGGGGGAAAGGAGGAGGGAAAAGGGAGGGGAGGGAAGGAGGGAGAGGTAGAGATGGTGCTAATGGATAAAAATTGCTTTAACCCCAAACCCCCCAAACCTAACCCGAAAACCCACAAACACTATCTGAAGATGCCCTGGACGTAACCCATGTTCAGGTGAACAAGCTGTGAGGCACCCTGCCTCGATCACAATCCACACTCACCATTACTGTTACACACACACACCACAGGGGTACAAATAGAGCATGAGGTGTGTGTTCCACCTCAGGGGAGGTTCTTATCCTCTTCTTCCAGTAGACAGCCTGGGGAAGCACAGCCAATGACAGGTCTACAGGTCACAACCAGCTCTGAAGAGAGGCGGACTTTCATTCTATAGGGGACCTACTGGAACATATAAATTCATATCATATATTTACACCCCCAATAGCTACAGAAATGGAATGTACAGCTCCCATTCTCTGGTCCAGGGTCAGGTGTTTCAGTAAGCTTATTTTAGTGAAGGTCAGCACCATGGTAGGAAAACCTCATCCTAAATCAGTTATTTACTGTAGGACCAACCACCTTCTAAACGGGCAAAGAACAAACATTTTCCACACTATTACAGGTAGAGGCCTCCCACGAGACGCTGACTTTACCGCAGTACAGTTCCAATACCTGTTCATGTAATTTGTCCAGTGTCACAGGGCATTACGGTCTGTAACTGGACCTGAGGCTGCCTGACTCCCCCATGTGACATAATTGATCAATAACTCTGTAGATACAGTTCATGTGGTTAGGTTTAAATTGATTCTACAGATATTTATTTGAAGTCGTATCTGGAGGTTTGAGGGAGTTCATTGTGGCCCTAGGCCCCCACTGATAGTCTGTGTTTTAGTGTTGAACAATGTTCTGGATTAGAACCCTGACAGCGGCTAACCGACCGTTAGCGCTAACCCCTCCCACCGGCCCACACAGCCAATGGAGCGACAGAGATTAACGATCTCTTAGACCTGTGTGCTCACATCAGCCAATCAGATACCTTGCTCTCATCTTCACCAAGAGGATGCCCTTGAGCACTCCAACACATACACAAACACACACCGGCCACTTAATTTGCCACGCTTGGAGGGCAGTGTCGCTCCGTCCGGATGTTTATGGTTTCCCAGAAACCTCAAATCACCGCGGCAACGGCTGGGTGGATTTATGGCAGCGGCCCTGTCTCCCACCCTTAGACAAACCATGTATCACCCTTACACACTTATATACATTCATAGTAGTGCACAAACACACATGAACACGCGTATGCACACATTCACACACACACACACACACACACACACACACACACACACATACATACACACACACACACACACACAGAAACACACACACACAGAAAACACACACACACAGAAACACACACACACAGAGAAACACACACAGAAACACACACACACACACACACACACAGAAACCCACACACCACACACACACATTAATTCAGTTTGTTTTCAATAGACCACAATGTTATAAAGGTTGCTGTGTCAGAAATAATGGCTGATTTAGGGGCAAGCTTCCATGTGGTGGAAACAGCTGGGTAATTGAGGGATAACAGGATCACTATGCACCTGTTCATAGAGAGCAAGTACTCTCACAAAAGATTGAGGAGGACACCATAGAAATAGAATCTAGATTATATTTCTATGGGTGCGTTCGTAAATTCACTCTGGTTATCTCCTCCGATTTCAGAGCACTCTCGTCTGAGTGTGCCAGAGAACAGAATAACAGATGAATTTACGAACGCTCAACACTCGTTGATTATGGCCGGTGTCAATAAACGTCGGCAAAATAGCGTCATTAAATTGTTTCCAGCAGTACAGTTACAGTCACCAACGCTCTGGATAACATGAAAACAGCCTAATTAGCTCTGCTAGGGCGAATAGAATGGTCAGAGTGAGGTGTTCTCTTATTTGTATAAGGAAGTAGCTAGCAAGCTAGCCAACGTTAGCCAGTTAGCTTGGGTGCTTGACTGCCGTTGTGAGGTCAGAACGCTTGGATCAACCCTACTCCTAGGCCAGAGCGTCCAGTGTGGCTCTGAACGCTCCGAGAGCGAAACGCTCTGAATTTACGAATGGACAATCTGACAATGCTCTGAATTTATGGCACTACAGATTGAATTAATGAACACGCCCTGTGAATGACACTGGCATTGGCATGACATGTAGAGTGTGCATAGTTGTGTCATCAGTCTTAGAATGTGTAGACCAACTCTACTCCTGAAAATTATTTTGTAGCTGACCAAACAATGCAAAGCTTAGAATGCTGGAGTAATTCAACATTCCACCATTAAACCCTATGGGATAACTTTGAGAACAAAAACCTTTACAGTTTAAATAGAATCCAAAAGCTTTGATCATTCTGACCAGCTCATTACACAGTTTTATGTGTATGAGGGTGGTCTAGTTGAGACAATTAAAATAGCAGTGTGCCCAGACTATGGATCCATTACATCATCCACTGCAGTGTACAGTTTGATGTCATAATCAACATGTCATGACCCGCATTATGACATCACACAGTCAATCCTTTATAAACAGCAGCCCAACGGCAAAATGGTCACAAGTGTGTAGCTGTACAGGCCGAGAGGCACTGAAGAGACATTTGGATACATTTATTGCTATTCAAGTGTGTTGTATTGAGAGCATTGACAGCCGCAGACAAGAGGACCATTATGGCTCCTTTCACTTCCCTGGGGGTTTTCTTGGGGCTGTTCCTGGTCCTTATACCTCTGGCCCTTGGTGAAGTGTTCACCAGCACCCCTAGGAAGACCATACAATATCACAGTAAGCCATTATCTCTCTCCAATGTCTGTTTACATCATTGCATGTAGAGAGTTGCATATTTTCCCCTAAACTAAAGTTGGAAGCTTAGTTTAGTGCTTTTGCTCAATATAAAGCCTAATATAATATGATATGAAGTCATCCAAAAGGGTTCTTCTTCTGAGAACCATTTGAAGAACCCTTGTAGAACCTGCTGTGGAAAGGGTTCTACCTGGAACCCAAAAGTGTTCTTCAAACGGTTCTATCTTGGGGAGACAGCCAAGAACCCTTTCAGGTTCTAGATATATCATTTTTTCTAAGAGCGTAGTCTAGTTAATATTGTTGGTAACAACATTCATAAAGACTATATAAACGCATTTAGGCCCATAAAGAGTTTTTAAACATAGGGCATTATGACTCTTTATGTCATGAACACAAACACTTTATGAATGCTATTTTTTCTTTAGACGCTAAGATTTTCAGAGAGAATGGCATTTCGAACTATTCAACGATGACATTGACAGAGGACCTGGGTATCCTTTTCATTGGTGCTAGAGACGCCGTATATGCCCTGGACCTTGAGAATATCTCCTCGAAAAAGGCTGGGGTAAGGAACTCAGTCTAATCAAGCTCTTGTATGTCAATACATCCATACAGTATTGTCTGGTCTCCAGAGCATTCCTGCTGTATGTTGATGTGAAGCTGTCTGTTGCTGCAGGTTTACTGGCAGGTCTCAGAGGAGCAGAAAATGTCCTGCAAGACCAGGGGAAAAGATTCAGTAAGTGGATTCTATGAACATTATCTCTCCTCACAGATAACTCTCTGAAGCAATATACCGTTAGATGTTTTAGAAACAAACCACATCATCATACCAACCTTATCCTATTCCAGATGGAATGTCAAAACTACATCAAGACACTTGAGGCACTCGACGATGGCTGGATGTTGGTGTGTGGGACCAACGCGTACAACCCCACATGTGAGTGAGTGTAACCTGGTCAGAACATCTCTATTGTTTTTCACACTAACTATCATGTGACTGCGGACAGGCGGTTATTTACACTGAACTAACTGCACACACACATATCTCACCTACCCTCTGTCTTTCTGTGAGGGGCCCAACTACCTTTCAAAGTGATTATTGATCTACACCTCCACATCGCAGCCAAACATGTACTGTGATCTCCAACAGACCTACGCAAACGGAACGTTGACCCTGGAAGGGGAGAAGGAAGAGGGACGAGGGAAAGTTCCCTTTGACCCCTTCCAGAGGTCAACCTCGGTCATGGTTGGTGAGTACGGCTGATTCTGATATCTACTGTACCTCCGCACAAGGATGGTGTTGTAGAATAGTGCACCCACGATTATAAATAAAACTATTATGAAGAAAGTGTTGGGAAAAAAAGTGGACCCACACTGAAAGTTGTGTTTTTGATCTAAAATACATTACCCGATTAACTTCATTCACTTCTTCACAGTCTTTTAGAGATTGATTATTTCAGTTCTGATGATTGTCATTGTTCCTCGTCTGTCAGGGACAGAACTATATTCAGCCACAGTGGTGAACATTCTGGGTACTGAGCAGGTGTTCCAGCATCATTCCTTCTCGGCTGTCAGGACCGAACACAGACAGTCCTGGCTTAACAGTAAGCTCCAACTCCTCTGTTTTAAATGTAGTACTCACTATCAACTACAAAATATGTTGACTATAAACTACTGTGACACCTGAATATGGACATTCCACAGAGATATAGCAGTTTTAAATTGATCATTTTCTTTATTCAATATGCCTTATATAATGGATCCCAAGTGGCATTATGTCTGTGTTTTCAATCTCATTGAGAAAACTGAACTGTCTTTTTTCAGAGCCCTCCTTCGTACACTTGGACGTCGTGCCCCTAGAGTTATATTAAGTCTATATGTTCTTTAGTGAGGAGGCCATGGAGTTTGACCTGCCAGACAAGCTCAGGGTGTCTCATGTGGCGCGGGACTGCAAGGTACACTTATATAACATGCTCTAAAAGTCATCATCTGATATGACAGTTGAATAAAAATGTAATATAAATGTGTTGGCTCCACCATAGAGATCCTATTCAATTTAAAGAATGTTCATGTCCATTCTAGTGTTCGAATTCCTAATTCAAATCAAATCAAATTTTATTGGTCACATGCGCCGAATACAACAGGTGCAGACATTACAGTGAAATGCTTACTTACAGCCCTTAACCAACAGTGCATGTATTTTTAACAAAAAAAGTAAAAATAAAACAACAAAAAAAGTGTTGAGAAAAAAAAGAGCAGAAGTAAAATAAAGTGACAGTAGGGAGGCTATATATACAGGGGGGTACCGCTGCAGAGTCAATGTGCGGGGGCACCGGCTAGTTGAGGTAGTTGAGGTAATATGTACATGTGGGTAGAGTTAAAGTGACTATGCATACATAATTAACAGAGTAGCAGCAGCGTAAAAAGGATGGGGTGGGGGGGCATTGCAAATAGTCCATGATTAGCTGTTCAGGAGTCTTATGGCTTGGGGGTAGAAGCTGTTGAGAAGTCTTTTGGACCTAGACTTGGCACTCCGGTACCGCTTGCCGTGCGGTAGCAGAGAGAACAGTCTATGACTAGGGTGGCTGGAGTCTTTGACAATGTTGAGGGCCTTCCTCTGACACCGCCTGGTATAGAGGTCCTGGATGGCAGGAAGCTTGGCCCCAGTGATGTACTGGGCCGTACGCACTACCCTCTGTAGTGCCTTGCGGTCGGAGGCCAAGCAGTTGCCATACCAGGCGGTGATGCAACCAGTCAGGATGCTCTCGATGGTGCAGCTGTATAATTTTTTGAGGATCTGAGGACCCATGCCAAATCTTTTCAGTCTCCTGAGGGGGAATAGGCTTTGTCGTGCCCTCTTCACGACTGTCATGGTGTGTTTGGACCATGATAGTTTGTTGGTGATGTGGACACCAAGGAACTTGAAGCTCTCAACCTGTTCCACTACAGCCCCGTCGATGAGAATGGGGGCGTGCTCAGTCCTCTTTTTTTTCCTGTAGTCCACAATCATCTCCTTTGTCTTGGTCACGTTGAGGGAGAGGTTGTTGTCCTGGCACCACACAGCCAGGTCTCTGACCTCCTCCCTATAGGCTGTCTCATCATTGTCAGTGATCAGGCCTGCCACTGTTGTGTCGTCGGCAAACTTAATGATGGTGTTGGAGTCGTGCCTGGCCATGCAGTCATGGGTGAACAGAGAGTAAAGGAGGGGACTGAGCACGCACCCCTGAGGGGCCCCCGTGTTGAGGATCAGTGTGGCAGATGTGTTGTTACCTACCCTTACCACCTGGGGGCGGCCCGTCAGGAAGTCCAGGATCCAGTTGCAGAGGGAGGTGTTTAGTCCCAGGATCCTTAGCTTAGTGATGAGCTTAGAGGGCACTATGGTGTTGAATGCTGAGCTGTAGTCAATGAATAGCATTCTCACGTAGGTGTTCCTCTTGTCCAGGTGGGAAAGGGCAGTGTGGAGTGCAATAGAGATTGCATCATCTGTGGATCTGTTGGGGTGGTATGCAAATTGGAGTGAGTCTAGGGTTTCTGGGATAATGCTGTTGATGTGAGCCATGACCAGCCTTTCAAAGCACTTCATGGCTACAGACGTCAGTGCTACGGGTCGGTAGTCATTTATGCAGGTTATCTTAGAGTCCTTGGGCACGGGGACTATGGTGGTCTGCTTGAAACATGTTGGTATTCCAGACTCAGTCAGGGACATGTTGAAAATGTCAGTGAAGACACTTGCCAGTTGGTCAGCACATGCTCGGAGTACACGTCCTGGTAATCCGTCTGGCCCTGCGGCCTTGTGAATGTTGACCTGCTTAAAAGTCTTACTCACATCGGCTACGGAGAGCGTGATCACATAGTCATCCGGAATAGCTGGTGCTCTCATGCATGCTTCAGTGTTGCTTGCCTCGAAGCGAGCATAGAAGTGGTTTAGCTCGTCTGGTAGGCTTGTGTCACTGGGCAGCTCGCGGCTGTGCTTCCCTTTGTAGTCTGTAATAGTTTTCAAGCCCTGCCACATCCGACGAGCGTCAGAGCCAGTGTAGTACCATTCAATCTTAGTCCTGTATTGACTCTTTGCCTGTTTGATGGTTAGTCGGAGATCATAGCGGGATTTCTTATAAGCGTCCGGGTTAGAGTCCCGTTCCTTGAAAGCGGCAGCTCTACCCTTTAGCTCAGTGCGGATGTTTCCTGTAATCCATGGCTTCTGGTTGGGGTATGTACGTACGGTCACTGTGGGGACGACATCATCGATGCACTTATTGATGAAGCCAGTGACTGATGTGGTGTACTCCTCAATGCTGTCTGAAGAATCCCGGAACATGTTCCAGTCTGTGCTAGCAAAACAGTCCTGTAGCTTAGCATCTGCGTCATCTGACCACTTTTTTATTAACCGAGTCACTGGTGCTTCCTGCTTTAGTTTTTGCTTATAAGCAGGAATCAGGAGGATACAGTTATGGTCAGATTTGCCAAATGGAGGGCGAGGGAGAGCTTTGTATGCGTCTCTGTGTGTGGAGTAAAGGTGGTCTAGAGTTTTTTTTCCTCTGGTTGCACATTTAACATGCTGGTAGAAATTAGGTAGAACGGATTTAAGTTTCCCTGCATTAAAGTCCCCGGCCACTAGGAGCGCTGCATCTGGATGAGCGTTTTCCTGTTGATTTATGGCCTTGTACAACTCATTCAGTGCAATCTTAATGCCAGCATTGGTTTGTGGTGGTAAATAGACAGCTATGAAAAATATAGATGAAAACTCTCTTGGTAAATAGTGTGGTCTACAGCTTATCATAAGATACTCTACCTCAGGCGAGCAAAACCTCGAGACTTCCTTAGTATTTGATTTTGTGCACCAGCTGTTGTTTACAAATATACACAGACCGCCACCCCTTGCCTTACCGGAGTCAGCCGTTCTATACTGCCGATGTAGCGTATAGCCCGCTAGCTGTATGAAATCCATGTCGTCGTTCAGCCACGACTCGGTGAAACATAAGATATTACAGTTTTTAATGTCCCGTTGGTAGGATAACCGTAATCTTAAGTCATCCAATTTATTTTCAAATGATTGAACGTTGGCTAATAGGATTGAAGGAAGAGGCAGTTTACTCGCTCGCCGTCGGATCCTTACAAGGCACCCCGATCTACGTCCACGATATCTCAGTCTCTTCCTCACGCGAATGACGGGGATTTGGGCCTTGTCGGGTGTCTGTATGATATCCTTCGCGGCCGCCTCGTTGAAGAAAAAATATTCGTCCAATACGAGGTGAGTAATCGCTGTCCTGATATCCAGAAGCTCTTTTTGGTTATAAAAGACGATGGTAGAAACATTATGTACAAAATAAATTACAAATAACGCGGAAAAACACACATAATAGTACAATTGGTTAGAGGGCTGTAAAACGGCAGCCATCTTCTCCGGCGCTGTTCTTCTCTTTGATTCTCTTTAATTCTATGGGCTCCACTGACACCGAGCATGTCTCCCTCCCTGTGGTTGGTTGGTGTGTAGGAGGACATGGGAGGCCTGAGAACCCTGCAGCAGAAGTGGACGTCCTACCTGATGGCCCGTCTGGACTGCCCAATGCCCTTGGAACCTAGCCTGCCAGCCATCATTCAGGACGTCTTCCTCCTGAAAGACCAGGATTGGAGGAAGAGCGTGTTTTACGCTGTTTTCAGCCCGCAGACGTGAGTTCTACCATTCCTTTAATAGGACGGTCCAGCAGAAGTGCTATACTGTCAAATATGAGCATTCTTTGAAAGTGAGTCTGAATTGATATTGGAATAATTAAAGGTGTTTTGATGATTATGCGACCACATCGGACCTCTCTACTGCGTGTGCGTTCAGTGTGGCTGACATTGGGAGTGAGGGTAGGTATCTGACTCCGGTGACAATGGAGTCAGAAACAAGGTGGGTTGCCCACACCGGAGAGCAGCCTGTCCCACGACCTGGAGCAGTGAGTACTTACATTACTTATAGATGATTAAATAAAATGTAGATTGATTAAATTCTGTACTTCTTCCAGAAATACTGTAAGTGCCAAGTAATGACATTGTATCTATTCTTGTACAGTGCCCAATTAATGTCCAAAACACTTAATCAAATGCGGCATATACTTTCAGCATGAGTCCCAAATGGCACCCTATTCCCTATATAGTGCACTACTTTTGAACAGATCCCTATGGGCCTAGGTCAAAAGTAGTGCACTATATGGGGAATAGGGGGCCATTTGGGACGCAGCCTTAGTTTCAAGAGTGCTTCCATCATAGTTATAGACTTACAGTATATTTTACCTATCTCTCATAGTTCAAACATCTCATCAACTCTCTGGTCATGTTGTTGTTAAAGTGTATGAACAATGCTGCACGGGACCTGGGGGTGGAGCACTCGCTGGACCTCCCTGACAAGACCCTGCAGTTTGTCCGTGACCGGCCACTCATGGAGGGGGCAGTTCCTCCACTGACCGGGGGTCCACTGGTGCTGCAGAGGGGAGCCAAGTTCTCAGGGATTGTGGTGGACAGAGTCATGGCCATGAATGGAGAAATCTACCACGTTATGTTTATTGGAACAGGTACTGACTATTCACAGCCCTTGATTATCCCAATACACACATTGTGCCTTCAGAAAGTATTCATACCCCTTCACTTATTCAACATTTTGTTGTGTTACAGACTGAATTCAAAATTGATTTAAAAAATAATAATTCTCACCCATCTACACACAATATACCCTATAATGACAAAGTTAAAACATGGTTTTAGACATTTTTTTTTTGCAAATGTATTGAAAATGAAATACAGAAATATCTCATTTACTTAAGTATTGACACCCCGGAGTCAATACTTTGTAGAAGCACCATTGGCAGCGATTACAGCTTTGAATCTTTCTGGGAAAGTCTAAGAGCTTTCCCCCATCTGGATTGTGCAATATTTCCCCATTATTATTTTGAAAACTCTTCAAGCTCTGTCAAATTGGTTGTTAATCATTGCTAGACCACCATTTTCAGGTCTTGCCATAGATTTTCAAACAGTTTATGTCAAAACTGTAACTTGGCCACTCAGGAACATTCACTGTCTTATTGGTAAGCAACTCCAGTGTAGATTTGGCCTTGTGTTTTAGGTTATTGTCCTGCTGAAAAGCGAATTCATCTTCCAGTGTCTGGTGCAAAGCAGACTGAACCAGGTTTTCCTTTAGGATTTTGCCTGTGCTTAGTGTTTTGGAATATTTTTATTCTGTACAGGCTTCCTTCTTTTCATTCTGTCAATTAGGTTAGTATTGTGAAGTAACTACAATGTTGTTGAGCCATCCTCAGTTTTCTATCACAGCCATTCTCTGTAACTCTGTAACTGTTTTAAAGTCCCCATTGGCCTCATTGTGAAATCCCTGAGCGGTTTCCTTCCTCGCCTGTATCTTTGTAGTGACTGGGTATATTGATACATAGTGTAATTCATAACTTCACCATGCTCAAAGGGATATTCAATGTCTGCTTTTTTTTTTACCCATCTACCAATAGGTGCCCTTCTTTGCGGGGCATTATCAGTTTTAGGGAAACTCAAATATGATATCTCATCCCTACTAAGCTATATGGAATTGTTTTAAGAAGGCCATACCAAGGATCATTTAGCTGTTTGATTTAGAATTAAGACCCCTTGAAGTATAAAAAAATACATAAAAAAAGTTGAATAACAGATTCACTACATGGAAGAACAGATAGTCCCAAACAAATATCAAAAGGAAGTTTGTTCTGAAGTGTCTCTCCTATATCTGAGATACAAGAAAGATCAGGATTTGTTATTTTTTATTTTTTTTTTACAGATATTTAACCATTTTTGCAGTAAAAGTTTCTCCATAATACTTCCATAAATGTTTTCAATGGTACCGGGGCCTGCAGAACAGACAGAACATCTTGTGAGGCCTGCAGACAGGGGTAAATAGTGTGTGAGAGGTCTCACCTTGCACACAGGGGTCTATAATGTAGATGGCGTACGACTTCAGAGATATGGCTGTGTAGCAATGGCGTACCGACTTCAGAAGAGGGGTCATATTAGTGTGTAGCAGATTGGCTGTACCGACTTCAGAAGAGGGGTCATATTAGTGTGTAGCAGATTGGCTGTACCGACTTCAGAAGAGGGGTCATATTAGTGTGTAGCAGATTGGCTGTACCGACTTCAGAAGAGGGGTCATATGTAGTGCTGTACCGACTTCAGAAGAGGGGTCATATTAGTGTGTAGCAGATTGGCTGTACCGACTTCAGAAGAGGGGTCGTAATAGTTTGTAGGCCAAACCGTTCGGACGCTACAGACTCATTTGTGAGAAGACCAATTTTCGGGAAGTCTCATGGTCTGGCAAACACAACTCTAGTTCTGTCACCTTTCACCGCAGATGCGGAAGTGCGACATAGGCGGATGCGGTGGATTGAGTGTGCAAAAAAACAGATACACTATATATACAAAGGTATGTGGACACCCTTTCTAATTAGTGTATTCGGCTATTTTAGCCACACCAGTTGCTGACAGGTGTATAAAATCGAGCACACAGCCATGCAATCTCCATAGACAAAGATTGGCAGTAGAATTACCTTCCTGAAGAGCTCAGTGACTTTCAACGTGACACCGTCATTGGATGCCATCTTTCCAACAAGTCAGTTCGTCAAATTTCTGCCCTGCTAGAGCTGCCCCGGTCAACTGTAAGTGCTGTTATTGGGAAGTGGAAACGAAGAGTGGAGGCTGTTATAGCAGCAAAGGGGGGACCAACTCCATATTAACGATTTTGGAATGAGATGTTCGACGAGCAGGTGTCCACATACTTTTGGTCATGTAGTGTCTCTCTCTCTTGCTTAAACGGATGGATTTTTATTAGGACGCTTTTATTACGCTAATTAGATTTCCGCAGGGCGCGGACTTCGACCTCAATGTCACAGTTGGCTCTAAAGAGTAACTGAAGTGTCCTGATCCCTGACAGAGGAAGACAAGGTGCTAAGGTTCTGCAGTATGCTGGTGGTGACACAGTCTCCCAGACTCCGGAGCCTATCAAAGGGATGGGTCTCTCCTCTGGCACGGTAACACATTAGTGCAAAACCTTGTTATGTGTTTGAGTGTTTAAGATGAATGGAACCAGGTAATTAGTGTTTCTAGACTAGAGGGCTCATCCAATGAGAAGCTAACACTGGTGGTTTAATAATCAGTGTGTGTTTTTCTCTAGGGACAGCTCTATGCCGGCTCAGAGTCTTGTCTGGTCCAGTTTCCGGTTAGTGACTGTGGTCGGTATGGGTCCTGTCTGGACTGTATCCTGGCCAGAGATCCCTATGGTTCCTGGGAGACCACCTCAGCAGCCTGCTCATCTGTCCTCAACTTACCCACTGGCTCCAGGTAGGATCCTATTAAACTCTACAGCACTTTCACTCTAGAATAACCACTGTTTGCATTTACTAATGGAACAAATATGATTTCAAATGTCTTTCGGCTAACAGGAGTTATTTCTTTATCTTTCAGGAACATGCACCAAAGCCTTTTACATGTGGATTCCTCTATGTACCCCCGATCAGGTAGGTTCATTTCTCAACTAGTGAAATACTGTGATGTTCGGCAGCACAAAGTTTAGCAAGTACCAACATGAAGTATGCTACAGGCCAAGTTAAGGGCACACATTCAGTCACTGAGGGCTCTATTCAATCTGTATCGTTGACTTACAGATTGTACGATAGAAATGTAAAGGTAATTTTCGATTGAGCCTACATATTCAGCCTTTACCGTTAATGCAGTCTGCGCTAACCCGAAAACATTGCCCTTAAATTTCAATCACGCTGTAACGCTGAACTTCCACGATACGGATTGAAGAGAGCCCTGACTCTTTCCCCGGATTGTGCATATGTTCTTTCCAGGTACTGTGCAGCCAGTTCCGTTCCCATTCATTGTTGGGAGCCCCATCCACCTGCCGTGCCAACCAGCATCCAACCTGGCACAGGTGAGCTGGCACTTTGCTAGGCAGCCCCTCCAGCTGAGAGACAGGTACCGGATGATGAGCCAGGACTTGTTGATAGTGAGTGCTGTAGCTTCAGACGCTGGTCGGTACACCTGCCAGAGTCTGGAGGAGGTCAAAGGTCGACTCTACACCAGGACAGAGGCTGTCTACATCCTGCAGCCCACAAAGACTCTACTGGTCCTGGCGTCACGAGTACTCTTGATGCGCCGGAACATCAGCAGAGATCAGTTGAGCCACAGAGTCTTCAGGATGGAGGAGGGGCTCCAGGAGCACATGTCACCCTCTAACAGCTCATCTGACGCAGTGATCCACATGGGTGACATCTGAGCTGGGACTAATAACTGAGACCAGGGGTGCGTTCAGTTCGATTCAATGTTGCGTGACGGTTAGTACTTAATGACGTTTCCACAAAACGGTGCGCACCGTTCTTCGACAGCCTTTGCGGTACGAGATTAGTCTCTACTAATCTAGGTCCGAGGTGTGGCCTGAACGGTATGGGTGTGACCATTTGAAATCGCAAAACTTGTGTAGCACACACCATACAGTCTCCCTCTGTGTCACCATAATCACGCCGTTCTTCAACTGGCCGTTCAGTACAGTACAGTTTCCATTGAATGAAACATTGACAGCAACCCTGGAGTCACCAGAACCATCCTTCAGTTATAGTCCACCTGACAACTCATTTTGTCTTAATACATTAGTCATTGTATTCCACTTAAGATCCTTGTGTTGAATTTGTTTTGTATTTTTGTACATGTTTGTACAAACATTTATTGAAAACATTATGTATCTGTCTAAGCAACGGTTATTCTACAGTATACAGTGCATTCGGAAAGTATTCAGACCCCTTGACCTTTTCCACATTTTGTTACGTTAGTCTTTTTCTAAAATTGATTACATTCATTTTTTTCCTCTACACACAATACCCCATCATGACAAAGATAAAACAGGTTTTTAGAACATTTTGCAAATGTATAAAAACCTAAACAAAAAAAACATATTTACATAAGTATTCAGACCCTTTGCTATGAGAATTGAAATTGAGCACAGGTGCATCCTGTTTCCATTGATCATCCTTGACATTTTTCTACAACTTGATTGGAGTCCACCTGTGGTAAATTTTATTGATTGGACATGATTTGGAAAGGCACACACCTAAATAAGTTCCCACAGTTGACAGCGCATGTCAGAGCAAAAACCAAGCCATGAGGTCGAAGGAATTGTCCGTAGAGCTCCGAGACAGGATTGTGTCGAGGCACAGATCTGGGGGGAGAAGGGCCTTGGTCGGGAGGTGACCAAGAACCCGAAGGTCACGCTGACAGAGCTCCAGAGTTCCTCTGTTGAGATGGGAGAACCTTGCAGAAGGACAACTATCTCTGCAGCACAAACTCCAATCAGGCCAGACGGAAGCCACTCCTCAGTAAAAGGCACATGACAACCCGCTTGGAGTTTGCCAAAAGGCACCTAAAGGACTCAGACCATGAGAAACAAGATTCTCTGGTCTGATGAAACCAAGATGGAACTCTTTGGCCTGAATGCCAAGCGTCACGTCTGGAGGAAACCTGGCACCATCCCTACGGTGAAGCATTGTGGTGGCTGCATCATGCTGTGGGGATGTTTTTCAGTGGCAGGGACTGGGAGACTAGTCAGGATCGAGGGAAAGATGAACAGAGAAAAGTACAGAGATCCTTGATGAAAATCTGCTCCAGAGTGCTCAGGACCTCAGACTGGGGTGAAGGTTCACCTACCAACAGGACAACGACCCTACGCACACAGCCAAGACAACACAGGAGTGGCTTCGGGACAAGACTCTGAATGTCCTTGAGTGGCCCAGCCAGAGCCCAGACTTGAACCCAATCAAACATCTCTGGAGAGACCTGAAAATAGCTGTGCAGCGACACTCCCCATCCAACCTGACAGAGCTTGAGAGGGTCTGCAGAGAAGAATGGGAGAAACTCCCCAAATACAGGTGTGCCAAGCTTGTAGTGTCATACCCAAGAAGACTGAAGGCTGTAATTGCTGCCAAAAGTGCTTCAACAAAGTACTGAGTAAAGGGTCTGAATACTTATGTAAATGTGATATTTCAGTTGTACATTTTTTATACATTTACAAAATGTTCTTAATATAAGACTTAAGTCTTATATTAAATCACAGACACCTGTATTTGTAGTAAGAGTCAGTCTCCACCAATCTCTTAGTTAGAGTCAGCCCACCACAGTCAGAGTCAGTCTCCACAATCTATTAGTAGTCAGTCCCACCAACTATGTCAGAGTCGTCTCCACACAAGCAAGCAGCCTCCACAATCTATTATTGAGTAGTCCCACCAATTTATCAAGACATCTCATCTATAGTTAGAGCCCTAAACTATTGTCAGAGACATCCTCCACCAACCTGATTAGCTAGAGCGGTCTGCAAGATAGTTGGGAGACAGTCTCCCCAAATTAGAGGTGTCCACAAGCTTGTAAAGTGTCTCCCACAATTATATAGGGTCAATCTGCACCAATCAAGTCGATGTCTCAACCAATTATTATCGAGTCAGGTCTCACATCTATTATAATGTCATCTCCCATTTTACATTATCTCACCAACATGTCTAAGTCAGCTTCAAGTCTATTTCAAAGTCACTCACCAATCTATTGTATAGAGTCAGTCTCCACCAATCTATTAGTCAGAGTCAGTCTCCACCAATCTATTAGTCAGAGTCAGTCTCCACCAATCTATTAGTCAGAGTCAGTCTCTACTAATCTACACTGAACAAAAATATAAATACAACATGCACATTATTTAAGATAATTAAAATCAAAATGACTGACAAGTCCCAAACCATCTATTGTTAATCATCTCCACCAATCTTATTATGAGTTCAGTCTCCTACCAGTCAAACTTCAGTTAAGTCAGTCTGTTCAATCCACTCTACACTGACACAATATGACCACAATGCAACCATTTCAGTTCTATAGGAGAATCAGTGAATTTAAATAAATTCATTAGGCCCTAATCTATGGATTTCTGCACAAAATGTCAGAAACCATCTAGTTTTCATCTTCCTCACCAGGGTCTTGACTTGACTGCAGTTCGGCGTCATAACCGACTTCAGTGGGCAAATACTCACCTTCGATGGCCACTGGCATGCTAGAGAAGTCTGCTCTGCACTGATGAATCCCGGTTTCAACTTCACCGGGCAGATGGCAGACAGCATGTAATGGCGTCGTGTGGGCGAGCGGTTTGCTGATGTCAACGTTGTGAACAGAGTGCCCCATGGTGGTGGTGGGGTTAGCGTATGGGCAGGCATAAGGTACGGACAACGAACACAATTTATCGATGGCAATTTGAATGCACAGAGATACTGTGACGAGATCCTGAGGCCCATTGTCGTGCAATTCATCCGCCGCCATCACCTTATGTTTCAGCATGATAATGCACGGCCCCATGTTGCAAGGATCTGTACACAATTCCTGGAAGCTGAAAATGTCCCAGTTCTTCCATGGCCTGCATACTCACCCATTGAGCATGTTTGGGATGCTCTGGATCGACGTGTTCCAGTTTCCACCAATATCCAGCAACTTTGCACAGCCATTGAAGAGGAGTGGGACATCATTCTACAGGCCACAATCAACAGCCTGATCAACTCTATGCGAAGGAGATGTGTCACACTGCATGAGGCAAATGGTGGTCACTGACTGGTTTTCTGATCCACGACCCTAACTTTCTTTTAAAGATATCTGTGACCAACATATGCATATCTGTATCCCAGTCACATGAAATCCATAGATGTGAAATGTGTAACTCTTATTAGTCTCTTCCGTGTGTTTGTGTGTGTGTGTGTGATGTTTTAATGCTCAGGAAGGCCCAAGTGTGAGATTTTCATGCGTTGGTAGAGCATGGCACTTGCAAATCCAGGGTTGTGGGTTCGTTTCCCACGGGGGGCCAGTATGAAAATGTATGCACTCACTAACTGTAAGTCGCTCTGGATAAGAGCGTCTGCTAAATGACTAAAATGTAAATGTAAATGTTTACATCAGAGAGGCCTACGTACAGTATCTGAGTATCTCTGTGAGTGTGTGTGTGTGTGTGTGTGTCAGATGGGAATCTATGGTAAAGGCTTTCCTCTGTATCATCAGCCTTGCATCAGGCAGCACAGCAGGGAAAACCTACTGTGGCACCTAGAGAGTACCAGCCATGCTTTTGTGTTTCCGTGTGTGTATCTTGTCCTCCATCCTCTTCTCACACCAATTTCAATTAATTAAACCAGGAGATTGTGTGTGATTGATTGTGTGTGAGTGGAAGGGCTCCTGGCAGTGTGTGTGTGTGTGCGCGTGTGTGTGTGCGTGTGTGTGTGTGAGAGAGAGAGCGGTCTCCTGGCAGTGTGTGTGTGTGTGGGGTTATGAGTACTCCTTTTTTACATTGATTTACCTTGGCGTACTGTATGTGCGACTGTTTAAGTTCTCTCTCTCTGACACTAACCGGCTTCATTAAGAGAAATTAAAGCAGACACACTGAATGAACTAAAGTAGAGCAGAGAAGAGAGACAGAGAGTGAGAGAGAGTTAGAGACAGAGCGAGAGAGTGAGAGAGAGTTAGAGAGAAAGAAAGAGAGGGAGAGAGTTAGAGGGAGAGAGTTAGAGGGAGAGAGTTAGAGGGAGAGAGTTAGAGAGAGAGAGAGACGGAGGTGAGCAGGAGAGTAGAGTTGAGAGAGCGAAGGTGATTGAGAGGAGAGCAGGAGGATCAGAGAGCAGCGAGATGAGATTGAGAGACGGACAGAAGTTAGGAGAGAGTTAGAGAGAGAGAGAGCAGAGGAGACGGGGGTAGAGGCAGCCAAGCCATGGTTTACGAGAGAGCCGCAGCTGGAGAGGTAGAGATGACTTTCACGACGCAGTTAGGCCCGTTCGACGAGAGAGAGGAGAATGACGGGGGGATAGAGGTCATGCACAAGCCATGTTGGTAGAGGGATGATGACACCACTAGGGAGGAGGGTGAGGATGACTCATCTTCATCACTCTGTCCATTTGCTCCTCTTTCCTGGCCTCACACCCACACACAGAGACACACCCACTAATACACACAGACATACAGATACACACACACAGACACACACACACACACACACATTCTCTTAGGATAGCAGTCTTCCATAACAAGACTTTCCTCTCTTTCTTTGGCTTCCTGTTTTGCTCCCTGTCCTTTTCCAACTTCCTGTGGTCGGGTACAGGAGGGGTGTTTGTTAACTTCCGTCTCTCCCCAACCTTTCTGCTGGTGTCTTTGAATCTTTCTCTC